ATAAATAATGCGTCGGATATGTTCAAACTACTAAATCGCATGAATTTTATACTCTAACTATAAAAGTTAACTAATTATTCCAATTTTTATGTAAAAATTGGACTTTTTTCTAAATTGAAATTGAAGTTCAATTTATGATATGTAACCATAGAAACCATAAAACTTACAACTTATGTTGGTGAGATTAAGTCTTTTCATGCGATGTTAACCGTGAAAGAGAGAATTTATTTAGTACTGCACTATGGTACTAGTGAATCATGTTTTCGTGTAGTTATACAAAAATTCTAGCAAAAATATCCGGACACAAGAATCTCATGTGGGGTTCGCAAACTGATGACAAACAATTTTGAAACGGGTTCTGTATTATCCATAAAGAGGCAGACAAAGAGACTAAATGAAAAAGACGCTGCCTTTCAGATAGCTTTTCAACAAATGACATTGGGAAGAAATTACCAGCATTGTCGTTATTGGAGCGATGTAAATCCAATTACCCTTAAATTTTATACGGTCAATGTACCTTCAGCAAGACAGTTGCCCAGCTTACCATTCACACATTGGTGAGATAAGTTTGAAAAATCAGTAATCTAAACTGCATGAGAGTATGAAAACTTGTAAATATCATCAATATGCTGATGACACTGTGTGTATTACTCTTTTCCTATTGATAAATGTAGGAAGTCGGCTCAACTGATCAACCTTGATCTTGCAAATTTATCAAAGTACACTGAGCAACACAACATAAAACTAAATCCCTCTAAATGCTCAATGATTGTTTGGTAGTATGGTTAAGGGCACTGTGAATATTGAGCAATATCTAGGTATTGAAATAAATGAGGCATGAATACCTTGTGTGGAACAAGTTAAGGTTTTGGGTCTGATTTTGGATAATAGGTTGAATTTTGGCTGTCATGTTAACAAATTATAAAAAAATTCATATTCAAAGCTAAAATTACTATATCCTAATCGTCATCTATTAACTACAGACGCTAAATTAATGTTATGTGACTCGCCTATATTATCAGTATTTAATCATTGCGATATTACTGATTTCAGCAAGGCTTTCGATCGATTGAATCATGAACTTCTGCTGAACAAGCTGGCAAAATTGGAAATTAATGGCAATATACTTTGTTGGATTGCATCTTATATCCGGGACAGAACTCAGATTGTATCAGTGAATGGTTATCTATCCGACCCTATTCAGGTTCCATCTGGGGTCCCGCAGGGCAGTCACCTTGGTCCGCTACTTTTTACTATTTATATTAACGATATCTTCTCTGTTATTAAACATGCTCAATGNCGAGCAAGACAGTTGCCCAGCTTACCATTCACACATTGGTGAGATAAGTTTGAAAAATCAGTAATCTAAAGTGCATGAGAGTATGAAAACTTGTAAATATCATCAATATGCTGATGACACTGTGTGTATTACTCTTTTCCTATTGATAAATGTAGGAAGTCGGCTCAACTGATCAACCTTGATCTTGGAAGTTTATCAAAGTACACTGAGCAACACAACATAAAACTAAATCCCTCTAAATGCTCAATGATTGTTTGGTAGTATGGTTAAGGGCACTGTGAATATTGAGCAATATCTAGGTATTGAAATAAATGAGGCATGAATACCTTGTGTGGAACAAGTTAAGGTTTTGGGTCTGATTTTAAATAATAGGTTGAATTTTGGCTGTCATGTTAACAAATTATTAAAAAATTCATATTCAAAGCTAAAATTACTATATCCTAATCGTCATCTATTAACTACAGACGCTAAATTAATGTTATGTGACTCGCTTATATTATCAGTATTTAATCATTGCGATATTGTTTATGGCCCCTGCTTATTGTCTGCAGATGTGGAGAGAGTTCAGAGGGTTCAGAAATCATGCTTAAGATTTGTGTACGGTATAAGACGAAGGGAGAGAGTGTCATACATGTTGCCGATAGCTAAATGGTTGAATTTGAGTGATCGCAGAGCCCTTCACTTTGCTTGACGTGTGCACCAGATAATCACCACTAAATCTCCGCCATACCTGTCTGTATCAAAGAATCACTTACAGGACTGATGTGCATAATTTAAATTTACGTCGTAATAACTTTGTAACTATTCCTAAACACCGTTTGGAAACATTTAAAAAACCATTTTCCTATAATTGCGCGATAATACTAAACAATAGGCCATCGGATTGTGCTGCCTGTTCTTTGTTTTCTTTCAAAAAGAAATATGAAAAGTACTTAATGACCCATTGATTGTGCATTATTATCGGGGCTTATTATTTTTTATTATTTTAATTGTTCTCTTTTTCTCTCATTTATCTTCTTCAAAATGGAAGCAAAGTTACAGTTGTAGTTTTACATGTTTCGCTTAAGCAGTGTAAGCATCATCAGAAAAAATGAACTGTGTTAAAGTTGAAAAATTCGTCGAACGAATAAATTATTAAGAGCAATCACAAATTCATTCTATACTATAGGACATTGAGTGTATAAATGAAATCAAATGAATGTTGAGCATTCAATGTCTGTCCTATAGCATAGAATGAGTTTGTGATTGCTCTTAATATTTTATTCGTTCGACGAATTGTGGAGATATATTTCAATGATTTTTCAACTTTAACACAGTTCATTTTTTCTGAAGATTCTTACACTGCTTAAGCGAAACATATAAAACTAGAACTTATTATTCATAATAATATATATTTTAAACCAGTAAAAGTGCAAAAATTATTTACATTCCTTTAAACGACAATTCTGATACACTTCATCCAGATATTCAAAAACATAAATATTATCAATCTCATACCTACAAAGATTTATCAAAAGATTCATGTCAGCGGGTTTATTACATCATAACGAACGTCAAAGTCTCAATGCATACTCAAAAAATACAAGTTTTGAGGAAGAAGATTAATTGTATGTGTCTGAAACAGCAATTTAGTCCGTGAATAATGGTCACGGACTAAATTGCTGTTTCAGATGTGTCAATTATATTTAAAAAAAAATTTCGTTTTAGATAAGTACCAATGAAGGAACCTAATTAAGCCACTGCTCTTATTCCTTTGTGTTTATTTTATGTTACAGGATCCTTTTTGCATTTCTCCCTCAAATGGGACTCTTTTAATGTACTCAGCTGGGTTTACAGGCTTTTATAACTTATCTATAGCCAGAACTTAAAGCCAGTTATTAAACTCATAGCAAGTTATTAAATCTATTAAAATCTTAACAAATTTAATTTTATATATTAATAAATAATTATTATTTATTTATAAATAAAATATAAAACCTTCATCATTCAACTTTTAGAATGATTAACCAATGTAATTTTAAAATTAAATTGTGCATATATCTTACCTATATAATAAATGCATCCATTATTACAACCTAATAATAAAAACGAGCCTGCTGTATCGAATGAGGCTATTGTCATTACTTCTTGAGTTTGCCAATGTTGAGTCATAGCATGCCAAACCCCAAGTTTTCCTGAAGGGGATAAAGCAACTAATTGGCTCCCAATAAAGAAGAGATACTCAACTCTAACATGTAAATTAAATGTTCCTAAAAAAACAATATAATTACAAAGATATCCTTAGAAAGATTTGTATTAAATTAAATAATTAACTTAGAACTAACCAACATTAGTTTTGTTGCCATCTTCAGACACTCCCCACAGTCTAACTTGACTACCATAAGAGATTGCAACCATTTTCGAAGCATCACATCCAGTTCCCATTTTCGCGTTAATTGCGATTCGTTCAATACACTGCTCAATATGGGGACTTGTGAAAACTTGTTGCCAACCGCTAGAATCTTTTAACCTTAACAGTTCATTAAAAAATTATTTTATTTTGATGTAATATAAATACAGGGTCTGTCACGACGAGCTGAGTCTATATGTATATGGCAAACTACTGGCACTATTTTTGTGAAAATTTGCATACAAGGTTTATAGCGTTAGTGCTAAAATATTTTCAGTTTCCCCCAACTTCGTTATTTTAAATGGAATGTACCAATTATTATTAAATTTTCGAAATCCTCGATATATTTTAATATAATTTGATATATGTATATTTTCGAATTATTTCATTTTTCAAAATTACACTCGAGTTCAGCCAAATATTCTCAGGGTTTACATAGCTTTTTAAATAAAAAATTATATAGGTGGTCAGAAATTTGTGCCGAATTTCCCTATCTCGAAAACTTCATTTTTTTAAATAGCAACCCCAATTTTTTCCTTCGACAGCATATTGTACGCTGAAAAATAAGGGAACTTTGTCAGTACAGTCCCTATATCTAAAATGTATGGTTTTCGTAGAAACTTGAAAAAAAATTAAATTTTCTTGGTTATTAGTAAATTTAAAATTATCAGTTGGCTCTGGTTTGAAGCAACCAAATCGAAGAAACAAAAACTATCGTATTAAAACAAATAATTTGACGTTTACGTAGCAAAAATGTTAACCATGTTTAGGATTTAGTAATTGTAGAACCTATGGCCAGTTTGTTGGAAAGCACAAAACAGTTAAACCAATCGTAGATAACGAAGGAAATGAAATTATAGTTTTGGGGTACTTCAGAGCGTATCCTGAAAATTCGTTATTAGATACAAAAAGAGATTTGGGAATATCTGAGAAAAGCAATCACAGGATTTTAAAAAAACATAACTTTCATCCTTATTCTTACTCATCGGCACAAAGTTTAAGGACAGGTCATCAAAGGAGAATTGATTTTTGTGAATTTTTGTTGATTGAAACTTCAGTAGATGAAGATTTTTTTGGAAAAAATAATTTGGACGGATGAGGCAAAATTTCTCTCCTTATGGGAGTCATATTAACCCACACATATTTCGTGAAAGACAATTTCAAGGATACTGGAGTTTTAATGTCTTAGCTGCTAAAAAATGATGGTGTGCTAGTGCTGCACTTTTATAACGAAAATTTGAATGGCAAGCTTATTGGAAATTATAGAGCAAGTTTTGTTTCTAATTCTTGTTCATTATTTCGGGCGAAACATATCTGTAAATTTTACAAAATTAGATACAGCCGTTAAATCTAAACTGGAATCAACTGTGGTACCAACACGGCGGAGCTTCACCTCATAGCAGTGCGCTTATATATAACTTTTTACAAAATCGTTTTGAGTATGGTTGGATAGCTAACAACGGACCCCATAAATGACCTCCCTGTTCGCCCGATATCACTCCATTAGATTTTTTGTTTGGGGTCTTATAAAAGATATCCTGTATGCTACACCGATTACAACAAAGGAAGAATGCCAAGAAAGAGTTCGTGATGCATTTCGAACTCGTAAGAAATTCGGAATGCCAATTCGTGCAACCAGTTCGAACATTTACTGTAGGGGAGATCGGGCTTTGAGGAGAATTTTTGAATGCAGGCCTCACCCATGGGCTGTATTTTCGAAAGTAACAAATTCGTTCGTTTTGATGCTAATCCCAAAGTCTCCTTGCATTCTAGCGCTCAATAGCTTTTGTTTCATATCACTTGCCTCAAACTAAAGCCAACCGATAATTTTAAATTTACTAATTAGAAAATTTCATTCTTTTCAAGTTTCTACGTAAACCATACATTTTAGATATAGGGATGTAATTACAAAGTTCCCTTATTTTTCAGCGCACAATACGCTGGTGAAGGAAAAATTGGGGTTGCCATTTAAAAAATGAAGTTTTTGACTTTTCGAGATAAGAAAATCGGCGCAAATTTCTGACCACCTGTATAACTTTTTAAAAAACTTTTCAAGGCTTATGTAAACTATGGGTCCTCTCTGTGGAAACCCTGAGAATAGTGATGGAACGGATAGTGATTTTGCGAAAAACTGGATACCGGATATTCGGCATCCTCTTCGACCGGATATCCGGTATATCTATCCGACCATTATGGTTATAATTTCTGGTACATTTCTGAAGTATTATCCTACATTGCTACATTATTGCGATATTTGAATAAAAAAGAAATTAATAAGAAAGCTGATAAGATATGTCAACATATAAAATGAACTTTTTTGATGCTGATTTAACTAACGACGCAACTCTAAAAAGCGAGAGGATACTTTAATTAATAATTGGTGATATTTCCACAAGGATCCTTCAAGAAATTAATTTTATAGCAAATTTTGAAAATTATTGATGAAAATTGCAATTATCAAAACTTCAAATATTGTTTTCTCAAAAACTGAAAGTTAATTTTCAAAACGTGTTGGTTCATTGGAAAGAGGACATTCTTATTAACATTTTGGGAAATTTTCATACTCATATTCTAAGAAATGGATTTTTCTAAGAAATGGACAAAAATTTATTTCTCAAAAACTAAAAGCGATTTTTCAAAACGGCTTGCTGTATTAAAAAGAGGATACTTTAATTAACAATTGACGATATTTCCACAAAGATCCTTCAAGAAATGAATTTTATACCGAATTTTGAAAATTATCGATGAAAATTGCAACATCGAAAATTTTATCAAACCTTAAAATATTGTTTTCCCAAAAACTAAAAGTTATTTTTCAAAACGTGTTGGTTCATTGGAAAGAGGACACTCTTATTAACACTTTGGGAAATTTTTATACTCATATTCCAAGAAGTGGATTTTATACGAATTTTTAAAACTTAATCGGCGAAAATTGCAAAATTCGAAAAAATTGTCGATCATATCGAAAATTTTTTTCTCGAGAACTGAAAGTGATTTTTCAAAACGGCTTGTTGCATTAAGAAGAGGATACTTTAATTAATAATTGGTAATATTTCCACAAGGATTCTTCAAGAAATGAATTTTATAGCGAATTTTGAAAATTATCGATGAAAATTGTAATATCGAAAATTGTATCAAAACTTCAAATATTGTTTTCTCAAAAACTAAAAGTTATTTTTCAAAACAGATTGGTTCATTGGAAAGAGGACACTCAAGAAGTGGATTTTATACGAATTTTTAAAAGTTAATCGGCGATATTGCAAAATTCGAAAAAACTGTCGATCATTTCAAAAATTTATTTTTCAAGAACTAAAAGCGATTTTACAAAACGGCTTGTTGCATTAAAAAGAGGATACTTTAATTAATAATCGGTGATATTTCGACAAGGATCCTTCAAGAAATGAATTTTATCGCGAATTTTGAAAATTGTTGATGAAAATTGCAACATAGAAAATTTTATCAAAACTTCAAACATTGTTTTCTCAAAAACTAAAAGTTATTTTTCAAAACGTGTTGGTTCAGTGGAAAGAGGACACTCTTATTAACACGTTGGGAAATTTTCATAGTCATATTCCAAGAAGTGGATTTTATACGAATTTTTAAAACTTAATCGGCGAAAATTGAACAATTCGAAAAAATTGTCGATCATTTATACCGTGTATAACCGGAAGTTGGAGAAAGCTGAAAATATTTTAGCTAAAACGAGCACCTCGAATAAGCGCTATATGCATATTTTCAGAAAAATAGTGCCAGTAGTTTGTCACATACATATAAACTCAGCTCGTCATGACATTTCTTACCTATAACAAACAACAAAATGTGCATAAGCAACAACAATCCAATTATGATGAGCTTTAATGATTTGAACTCTTAATGGATCAGCCCAACCTGAACCTAAATCACCGAAAAAAAATTAACAAATTCAAATTAATAAACAATTACAGGTTTTTAGAGCATAAAAAATCTTACTGCTTGGACTGAAAACCAACCCAACATCATTTCGAATCATTTTATTTAAATCCGCTGATGAATTACGTGTGTGTCTCAAATCCAAAGATGCCGCCCTCGAATGATTTGGTCCTGACCCATTTCGTCCCTGCAACCCCCTAAGATCCTGTGAACTACGACTACAATTTCCAGATAATCTTAATTCCATTGAAGAGTTTCTTGAATGTCCTAACATAAAAAATTTTAATTAAAAAACAATCAATTAATAATAAATTTATGATGTTGTCTAACCAGGTTGTCTATTTTGAATATAAGAGTTAATAGAACTCTGTACATATTGATGGTTGTTATAATTTACACTATCACAGTTACTTGCTCCATTTGAACATTGAGAATTCTCCCCTCCTGTCACTTTGTTTTCATAAATACCTGATGGACCTGGTTGGTTATCTAATCGAACACTAACTCCAGGTCTTGAGACATGTACAGCAGTCGGTTCAGTTTGTGTTACTGAATTACAAGGTGGTGGATCTTGGATTGGGATACCTTTAAAAAGATTTTTTTTTAATGATTCAAACAAAAAGGTTAATTTTTTGTTAATTTTTAAAAATCACTCAATAAAATGATTGATAAGAAAGTTATTTTGAGTCATCACACTTACACAATATCATGCAAGTTTTTTAAAAAATAGATAGTTATTTAATCTTAATAGTTATTAAAAATAAATAATTTACATGGTGGTGGAAGATATCCATAAAACAAAACATCACCGCATGTAGATTGAGTCATTTCCTCACAAAGCATCAATCTTCTCACCAAAGGAGATATCCCATAATATTCTGCCTCATGTCTCAAAGACTTGATATCAACATTTTTCAAATTAATCTCCCTAGTTCTCAAATAATTCAAAATTACAGCAAAAATCTCTGGATCCCTATCAATAAAAATCGACCCTTTTTCATCCCGTAAACTGGAGATGCGACCGTTTAATAAAGCCGTGAAAAACGTATCTTGAACGCACGTTAGAGTTTGTCTGGAGGTCGAGAACCTGGATGCAAATTTTTATGTTTACGAGTAATAAGCAAAAACAAAATGGAAATAATTACCTCTTTCCGCCGACATTTAAATGAAGAATATCGCCGGAACAAACTTGGGAAAACGCCATGGTGATGGAATGTATGTTGAGTTTGAAAAATTACATCGTATTTCGTTAGAATTGGTTTTCTTTTATTCAATATGCTAGTATTACCAGTCAAAACGTCAACAAATGATTGTAATTTGACATTTAACGTGCATTTGACATTTGACAGACCCCACACGATTGACAGAGCGACACAGCCGGTAAAGTAGGTCATTATTATTATTTTATTTGAAAAATTTAATTTATTTTTTTTAAATACATACTTATATTTATTGATAGTTGTATTGTAAAATACTTATTTTAAAGATTTGATTTTTTTACCAAACGTGTTACATTCTAATCAACAATTTTACAATCGTGATAATTTTATTAACTTTTTTGTTTAATTTTATTTTTCTATTCATATACCTAATCAAATTAGTTGAAAATAATAATTGTAAAAATATTTTTAATTTTCTAAGAAGTTATTCTACTAATATTAAAGAATATTATAATTTCTTTTAATTTGAAACTTAAAATTGGTGGATGGCATCGGTGTTGCCTAACTATCAGTCAGTCCTACAATAAGTAAAAGGAATAATAATTATTCTTTTAACGTTTTTGATGCAAATATTGCTGTATATCACTTTGCTGGATCTTAACTGTATTGATGATTTTGTATTTTAAGAAAATTTTGAGTTGCGACTATTAACTATTTAGAAACTGAGTAATTTGTGTTTACATGACCTGATACGTTCACTGATATCTAAGAACTGGCCAGCTTTTACTTGTTCTGTATTCTATTTTTACTTATTGTTTTGATGTATGCTGTCCAAAGTTACAGCAAAGTACTGTTAGCGTTAGAAGTGTTAGAACTGGGACACTTGTGATGTGGTCAATGCAAAACGATCTTTTGTTGTTAATCAAATTCCTAATACTTCCAATAGGACTCGATGTTTATGGTATCTTAGAAATGTACATTTAGGCAAGGATAATGCTGTGAGAATAATAATGTTGAATGTTGAAGGGGCTGACATTGTGAGATCTTTGTATTGGTCCTTCTTTTGTGGATTCATGCATTTTAGGTACCTATTTCCGTTCTCTGCAATATGTATTTTTGGCCGACATCTCCTCGAAATAATTCAGTCAATCAGTACGTTACAGAATGTGAGCAGTAGGGGAACTGATGGAATTGGAGTAAGACTTCCCAAATATGTAGCCCACTGTTGTTACGAAACATGTCGGGCTTATTTTGAATCGGTTGATTATTGAGGGTATCTTCCCGTCACCTCTTCAAGGTGCCAAAGCGACACAAGTTTTCATGAAAGATTGATGTGTGCTATACATTGAGAACTACAAACCTATAGCAATTTACAATGATTTCTCTAAAGTATTTGAAATTTTTAGGAACAGGATTCTCAATTTTGTTAACAAATTGAGTGTTATCAGTAGTTACCAGCATAGTTTCAAGAACTCAGCTTATTATGCAAAGCCACTGTGCTACGCTGCTTTCTTATAAGTTATAACTTATAAGTTATAACATGAGTATCGGGTGCTGTGATTGAGTAGAACCGCGTGTTTGTGGCATAAAAGCGAGTCATAAGGTTGTTGTTTGACTTGGGCAGTAGAGAATTATACATCTAGAGATACTTTTAGATGTCAGTCAATAGTAGTGAAAGCCGGATACCGGATATTCGGCATCACCTTCGGCCGGATATCCGGTTATCCGGCATATCTATCCGGGTTCAAGGATCCTTCAAGAAATGAATTTTATACCGAATTTTGAAAATTACCGATGAAAATTGCAACATCGAAAATTTTATTAAACCTTAAAATGTTGTTTTCTCAAAAACTAAAAGTTATTTTTCAAAACGTGTTGGTTCATTGTAAAGAGGACACTCTTATTAACACTTTGGGAAATTTTCATACTCATATTCCAAGAATTGGATTTTATACGAATTTTTATAACTTAATTGGCGAAAATTGCAAAATTCGAAAAAATTGTCGATCATTTCAAAAATTTATTTCTCAAGAACTAAAAGTGATTTTTCAAAACGGCTTTTTGCATTAAAAAGAGGATACTTTAATTAATAATTGGTGATATTTCCACAAGGATCCTTCAAGAAATTAATTTTATAGCGAATTTTGAAAATTATCGATGAAAATTGCAACATCGAAAATTTTATCAAAACTTCAAATATTGTTTTCTCAAAAACTAAAAGTTATTTTTCAAAACGGGTTGGTTCATTGGAAAGAGGACACTTTTATTAACACTTTGGGAAATTTTCATACTCATATTCCAAGAAGTGGATTTTATACGAATTTTTAAAACTTAATCGGCGAAAATAGCAAAATTCGAAAAAATTGTTGATAATTTCAAAAATTTATTTCTTAAAAACTGAAAGCGATTTTTCAAAACGGCTTGCTGCATTAAAAAGAGGATACTTTAATTAATAATTAGCCATATTTCCACAAGGATCTTTCAAGAAATTAATTTTTTAGCGATGTTTGACAATTATCGTTGAAAATTTTATCAAAACTTCAAGTATTGTTTTCTCATAAACTAAAAGTTATTTTTCAAAACGTGTTGGTTCATTGGAGAGAGGACACTCTTATTAACACTTTGGGAAATTTTCATACTCATATTCCAAGAACTGGATTTTATAAGAATTTTTAAAACTTAATCGGAGAAAATTGCAAAATTCGAAAAAATTGTCGATCATTTCAAAAATTTTATTCTCAAAAACTGAAAGTGATTATTCAAAACGGCTTATTGCATTAAAAAGAGGATACTTTAATTAATAATTGGTGATATTTCCACAAGGATCCTTCAAGAAATTAATTTTATAGCGAATTTTGAAAATTATCGATGAAAATTGCGACATCGAAAATTTTATCAAAACTACAAATATTGTTTTCTCAAAAACTAAAATTTATTTTTCAAAGCGTGTTGGTTCATTGGAAAGAGGATACTCTTATTAACACTTTGGGAAATTTTCATATTCATATTTCAAGAAGTGGATTTTATACGAATTTTTAAAACTTAATCGGCGAAAAAATTATCGATCATTTGAAAAATGTATTTCTCAAAAACTAAAAGCGATTTTTTCAAAACGGCTTCCTGTATTAAAAAGAGGATACTTTAATTAATAATTGGTGATATTTCCACAAGGATCCTTCAAGAAATGAATTTTATAGCGAATTTTGAAAATTATCGATGAAAATTGCAACATCGAAAATTTTATCAAACCTTCAAATATTGTTTTCTCAAAAACTAAAAGTTATTTTTCAAAACGTGTTAGTTCATTGAAAAGAGGTCACTCTTATTAACACATTGGCAAATTTTGTAACTCATATTCCAAGAACTGGATTTTATACGAATTTTTAAAACTTAGTTGGCGAAAATTCAAAAAAATTGTCGATCACTTCAAAAACTTTTTTCTCAAGAACTGAAGGTGATTTTTCAAAACGGCTTTTTGTATTAAGAAGAGCATACTTTAATTAATAATTGGTGATATTTCCACAACGATCCTTCAAGAAATTAATTTTATAGCGAATTTTGAAAATTATCGATGAAAATTGCAACATCGAAAATTTTATCAAAACTTCAAATATTGTTTTCTCAAAAACTAAAAGTTATTTTTCAAAACGGGTTGGTTCATTGGAAAGAGGACACTTTTATTAACACTTTGGGAAATTTTCATACTCATATTCCAAGAAATGGATTTTATACGAATTTTTAAAACTTAATCGGCGAAAATTGCAAAATTCGAAAAAATTGTCGATTATTTCAAAAATTTATTTCTCAAGAACTAAAAGTGATTTTTCAAAACGGCTTTTTGCATTAAAAAGAGGATACTTTAATTAATAATTGGTGATATTTCCACAAGGATCCTTCAAGAAATTAATTTTATAGCGAATTTTGAAAATTATCGATGAAAATTGCAACATCGAAAATTTTATCAAAACTTCAAATATTGTTTTCTCAAAAACTAAAATTTATTTTTCAAAACGTGTTGGTTCATTGGAAAGAAGACACTCCTATTAACACTTTGGGAAATTTTCATACTCATATTCCAAGAAGTGGATTTTATACGAATTTTTAAAACTTAATCGGTGAAAATTACAAAATTCGAAAAAATTGTCGATAATTTCAAAAATTTATTTCTCAAGAACTAAAAGTGATTTTTCAAAACGGCTTTTTGCATTAAGAAGAGGACACTTTAATTAATAATCGAAAGTGCTAACAGCGACAGTTCTGCTAGTAATAAATGTGATGATGAATTGTAAGTGAAGAGAAGAAATCTAGACGAAACTGCAACAAGAGATTTTATATATCGTATTGGGATTGTTGTTGTATTGAAGTTGCTAATGACAAACCTGATATAAATAAAATTGTATTCAAAGAAAAAAGTCCTGTTGGGATGAACTTGATTATTATCTGCAGTGTCCAGCACCTAAAAGAGATACTAATTCCTGTGAATGGTGGAGTACTAAATAATAGGTTTTTAATATCCGGCNTTGTAAATATGAAAACTGTTCAATGTTGTGATACTTAGAAAATGTTGAAATATTTTTATGTAGTATTTCCTAATTCTGGTTCGTGTAGTACTGTAGAAATGAAGGCACTGGTCAGAGAGATCAACCCCTCCCATTTGTTGGTTGTAATCAAGTATACAACTTGGTTTTTGTATTTCCGTATTTCGTTTCGTAACTGTTCTCATCGTGTTATCATGTAAAGTGCTTATCATCAAAACATCTTTCTTGTCTCTCCACTTTTGTACCATTATTTTTCTTCTATACATTGCAATAGTTTCACCCTTGTTTAGCTTAGTTTTCATTTCTTGTGGTAACCCTTTTCTGTTTATTCTCATAGTGCCAATACAATCAGTTCTTCTTCTTACTAATTTGTCAACTAGATCAACACTACTGTAGTAGTTGTCTAAAAATAAGCAGGAACCTTTATCCAGTAAAGGATCAGCCAACTCAAGAACCACTCTACTTGTTTTGGGTTCATTAGCGTATTTGTTGCCATATGCAGTATCAGCACCAGTATAAAATAAAAAGTTGTATAAATAACCAGAAGAGCTTTCACAGAGAGAAAACAACTTTATGCCAAATCGTTTTCGCTTGCTTGGAATGTACTGTTTCCAGCCTAATCGACCTTTCCATCCTATTAGTGATTCGTCAATAGCAATGTTTTTTTCTGGTATATATACAGTCATAAATTTTTCTTTTAGGTGGTCTAGTACAGGAGCTAATTTTGCAAGTTTTTGGTTTGGTAACGCAGTATCTATGGTAGAATTATCCACAAAATGTAAAAATTTCAATAACAAATTAAATCTTTTTTCAGTAAAAATACGCAGAAAAAAACGTGTTTCAATTGATTCACGGCGGCTGAAATAGAGTTTGTATTCAGGTTTCACAGTGATACTTTGCAAAATCAAAAATCCTAAAAAAGTTCTCATTTCTTCTATATCTGTTTCTTTCCACATTTTCACTCTACTTTTTTCTTTCACATTATGAGTGGCTAGATACTGATCTGCATACCTGTTTGTCTCGCGCACTACTACTTCTATAATTGCATCATCAAAAAATGTTTCAAAAATTTCTACAATGTTGTCACGGTTTAGATGTTGTAGCTGTACACCACTTGTTGATGTAAAAGGAAATGGAGGACGAGGTATACCATCATTTGTCCACGGCATATCTAACGGCGTATTATAGTCACTTATTTCAGACGACATTTCTACGTCGTCCAGCCCATCAGACTCTTCTTCTGATTCGTCAGAACTTGTAAAATTTTCTATGTCGCTTTCATCCTCGGAGCTTGACATGATTTTTAGAATTTTTTGCAATTTCACTCACTCCGAAAGCTAGTACAACAAGACAAAACAAGTATATGAAAATGTCTAACAACAAAACCAAGAAGCGAAAAAAAATTGCGCAGGTCTATTCTTATGATACACCCCTACCATACAGTGCACCGCAGCCGAACATATTCGGCATATCCATGAAAGGCTGCATTAAAAACTTCATGGCGAATATATCCGTCATAACCACCGCCCAATGTTGAGGGCGATTGTTCCGTTGGTGATGTATATGTAAGCAAGTTAGAGTTGATGTGGCTGGAAATAACTTGATGGACATGGATGGTTCAATAAATGGCTAGAGTTGTTGCGGCTGAGAAAAAATGTGCCAAATCATATTAATTTGTGAAAAAAAGTTTGGGCTTGAGATTTAAGTTTGTATATTTCGGCATGTGATAAAACAATGTGCAAATATAATTATATTTTGAACTGATCGATTTTAGGAAGTCATTTAACTGCTTTGCTTATGCTCAGCAAAACCAAAACTGTTTCATCCATATCCTGTTGCTTGGAATGTTGCTTTTGGAGTGGAATGCAGTTTGCTCGCTATTTTATTTTTAAACGGTGTTTCAATGCATTGACGTAGAAATTTTGTAGTTCTAGTTTTATTTGCATTTTTCCGCTGAAACTAAAGTAAATTATACGTTTTTGTAGGTCATTGGAGTTCAATTACCCCATGGGGTTTGCTACAGTAAAGGTCATAATAGAAGAAATACGCAATTTTGAAGATGTTGGTCCCCATTGTAATACCCCAACCGACAGTAGTACTTGCTGCTTGCTACCATTATAAACTTCTCAAGCAAAACAGAAAATTTGAAGATGACATACAAAGTTGCCGCTTTTTTTCGTTGCAGTTTGAGTCAACAGATATCACCAGATATTTTATAGGAATGTTTTTTGCGATTTTTTCGTAAAAGAAGAATTTTTAACAACACTTCTGGTAAAGGGAACAACGCGAGGTCCAGATATGATGGCAACTTTTATGCTATTTGCAAAAAAAATTGGTTGTATGTATCTATGTCAGGTTTTACTGTATTACTATATGTTTCTGAATTATCCGGCAAGACAAAAAAATCTACGTCCTCTAACGTATATCCGTTTAAAATGAGTTTATGGTGTTCTTAGTAAGGTCTAACACAACATATTTTATAACTCTTTAATCCCTTTTGTAACAATTGAAATTCATAATACAAAGAAAGACTCAAATATAAGTTTATTTGTAGTCTTATCAATGTTTAACACTGCATAATTACATCTTTTTGTCTGTTATAGAACAATCAAAATTCATTAAAAATTATAATCATACATGCCTTTTTTGCAGCCATATATGCATTTTTTTTATAAAATCATGTAGTATAAAGAACAACGAGCAGGTGCCAGAATTATCAGAAGGCAGTTACTTTATCGTACAAGGTAAGACACAATTAGCTCTCATAATTAAGGAATCATCATTATTTCATATCTTCACAGATGAAATTCGCTTTGGTTTTTTTTGCCTTAATGGCCACATGCTCGGCCATACCATGTACCGGCAGGGATCTCCAACAAGATTTTGAAGACATTATTGCAACCATCCCATTAAGTCAAATCAAAGCTATTGCTCAAGAACATCTCGAAAATGATGGTGAGTTCCAAGAAGTCGTCAAATATTTGCAAGGAGCAGAATGGAGCAATCTTGTCGATACCGTTGCTGATAATCCTACCTGGAAAAGATTTAAGGCTTACATGGATAGCGTTGGGGTCGATGTCAACGGTGTGATTCAATATTTCCACGATCTCATCGCTGAAGTTGAGATTTCCAAATGCACTGACGATGTTAACATTCGTAGCGTAAAGGAATTCTTGGATGAAATACGTCAAATCCTTGATCTCTCAGCTACTTTTGCCATCCTCAGCGAAAAATTAAATACCAGTCCAGACTTCAAAGAATTCTTCGAAAACATTTCCAGCGAAGAGGCTCACGCTATGGTCGAAGAAATTCTTGCATTGGACGAAGTTCAACGCATCGCTGAACGTCTCCTTGAAATGGATATCGAAGTTGATAAAATTATCGATTTGGTTTATGGACTTTTGGGGTGGAGCAAGCAAGTGGTAACCAGAGATTATCGATCTGAGATTCAAGATATTGTCAGAACAACGGCATTATCAAGACGTGATGTTAGTACCGTTAATGCGGAAAACGCTGCGGAATTTTTAGAAATTGTCAATTATTTGCAAGGAAACGAATGGGTCGAATTAGTTCAAAAACAAAGATGGTGGTTCTCGATTAAAATAAAAGTTTGCTTAAATTTCTGGATTGTCACAGCATGTTTTGGAAATTAAAATGAAAAATGTCGCAAATAGTCGATTCAGTTTATCAAGCTTTATCATCAGGATGTTTAAGATATAAAGATAACTTTTAATAAAAATTTTGAATTAATATTACTGTATATTGATTTCAATATATGTATAAGAAATAAAAAAAAAACATAGGTTATGTACTATGCTGTACTGTTATTTGTAAGCAGCTGCGTGTATTATTTACGTATTGCAATTATAATTTTCAAATATTTCTTATTTTTATACCAAACGTTACAATTTGTGTTTGGTACGTAAAAGTATCGTCAGGAGAATAACAGGTACAATATTGAGATTGATGTAAAAATGAGCCAAGCGAATACAGATACGTTTTGGTACTTGAACAAAGCTTTGACTGATGAAGAACTTTTGGTTGGGGCTGAAAAAGTTTGTGTTGAATTTGAAAATCTCTCGTTGGATAATTCTGAACAGACAGACATAGAATATCTATGCTGGAAGATGAAGAAGTAGAACAACTAACTAATCAAAATAAGGAAAGTGACACTGAAGTAGTAGAAATACGTGGCAAAGGGCAAAAGCAGACTGATATTCCAACATAGGATTATCCAGAGGTGATACTTTTGCAACTTGCAATAATCGTACTTGAAAGAAGAAGAGTTGCTGTTTCCTTGGCATAAATTTCTTAATAAGTTATCACAGTTTGCCAAGCTATAAACTCTTCTAGAGTAACTCTGAAGACTTGGCTGTAACACTTGTCATACGAACAATGAGCCGTAACAGGTTTCGGGAGATTTTATTATATCTGCATGTCAATGATGACACCATCAGTTTTCCAGTTATTATCATGGCACTAGGCAGTTGGCAGTATATGAATCCATGATAATCTTCAAAGGGACGTCAAGTATGAAACAATTCAATCCCATGAAGCCCATAAAAACAGATTACAAGCTCTGGTGCTTAGCAGATAAGAAAGGGTACATAAAGAAATTTGATGTGTATCTGGGAAAATCTCCTGAAACGAAAGAAAAATTTCAAGATCATGGATTAGGTGAAGGATTATCCTTCAACTTACTGAAGATGAGTGGAATAAAAATAGAATGATTTATTTTGATAACTTTTTTTTACAAACTAAGGTCTCACAAAATAGGTGCACCAAAAAATTTGGTAGATGAAAAATGAAAAGAGGTATAAGTTATTACAAATGGAAGGACAGTAAGTGCTTGAAATTTAGCTTTAATTTTCGTAGAACAGAAGAGACGGAAAAAGGAAGCAAAAGAATTGAACGAAAATTGATGTGCGCTGTCCTTCAGTCGTTGATGATTACAATAAAAACATGGATTCGATAGATCATGTCGATCAATTTGGACAAGTGTATGCAATCGACCGCCGTTCCAAGAAGAGTTGACACAGGCTTTTCTTTGGTTTTACAGATATATGCTTTGTCAATTCTTTTGTCATATATTCTGGGGTGGTTCGTACTGAATTACATTTGGAAAAGAAAGAGGAAGGTGTGACAATTGTTCTGCCAAAGCTATTCAGTCCAGACCCCACTCAAAATGTACTACTTTTAATGCCTGACGGCATTCTCAAGTACCATTATGCACCTGGAATGGAGGATTTGTCATATTTTGCTAAAATTGATTCCAAAGACAATAAAAATTTTTGACTTTTTGTTACACAAAGGTTTAAAACACATTCCAACCTAAAGCTATTCTTCTAGAACACTGTTTCCTAAAGTGTATGTCGCGACCCAGTGATGGGTCACGATCGGATATTAGCTGAGCCATGAAACTGTTAGGAACTAATTTTACTACCAACCTTCTAATAAATACTAGTTCTAATAAAAAAAATTGGCTTGGTAATAAAAAACAGCCGGGGAATCCCCTCTATTCAAATCACTCACAATCTGCACTAAACAGATCTAGCTGCCTAGCAGTTTTAACGTTTCGTTCTCTCATTCGAGTTTAGTTAAGTACTAAACTCGAGTTTTTTAAATTCATGTTGCGTTTCCTAGAATATGACCTTATTGTCTGTAACCTCGATAACTGTGTTATATTATAATAATGGACAAGTGGTTAAAGCGACCAACAAATAGCGCACAAAGCGATGAAAAAATAGACGTTGTTATTTCGGATGAAAAAGACGACACTGAGCCTGACGAGGCTCACATGAACCAAAACGTCGAAAAAATGTGACAAAATATGATCTTGAGTACCTAAAATTAGGATTCACCTGGAATCAAGATACAGTGGATCCTTGTCCTCAATGGGTTATTTGCTGCGAAATATTGGCGAATGAAAGCATGCGTCCGAGTAAGTTATCACGTCATATGGAAATGAAGCACTCCCATTTAAAAAATAATCCGGTGGATTTTTTTCAAAAGGAAAAATTTTCTTTCACATTTTGTAAATATTAATGAAAATGCTACTTATGCCTCTTATCTTATTAACCTGAGAATCGCCAGAGCATGTAAACCTCATACCATTGTCGAGAATTTAGTGTTACCATCGATTAAAGATACTGTTGGAGTGATGTTTGCAGAAAAAGAAGTAAAGGAAATCCAACGTATATCACTTTCCAACAATACCGTTGCACGAAGAATTGGCGAGATGTTCTAATGGGCAGAGGATGAGTTAATTGGTAGAATAGTCGGTAGTAAGTCTTTTACGCTCCTAATGGATGAGTCTACCGATGTGCAAGGCCTATCTTAGTTACTTGTTTTCGTGCGTTATATATGGCAAAATGATGTGCATGAAGATATCCTGTTTTGCAAACCAATTAGTCGTGAACAAAGGCTTGGAAAGACAAAAGGCTTTGATTGGCGTGTGCACTGATGAAGCTCGAGGGTTCTTGAAAGAAATCCCAATGCTTCGTGGACTCACTGCAGCTTGCAAAGAGAAGCGCTGGTTGCAAAATCATTGCCTGATGATTTAAAAACAATATTAAATACCTCTGTGAAAATAGTAAACTATATCAAAACACGGCCCTTACAAACACGTTTATTTCAAAAGCTGTGCGAAGAGATGGGTTGTCTTCATAAATCTCTTCTTTTGCAAACAGAGGTACGTTGGCTATCCAGAGGGCAAGTTTTGACAAGATTAGTGGAATTACGCAATGAAGTCACAGTTTACTTGATAGGAAAAAATCAATATCTTGAATCTTTACTGAACAACGAATTTATTCTCAAGCTAACATACTTGGCGGATATTTTCTCAATGTTATACGAACTTAATTTGTATTTGCAAGGATCAGAGGGATACGACATTTTTGCAGTTCACCATAAAATTCGAGCGTTCATGAAAAAGCTTGTCTTGTGGAAGAGATGCATTGAGGAAGGCAAATATGATTGTTTAGAAACGTTTCAAAAATGTATCATAGAGAGCGAAATACAGCCTGATATTAATTTAGTGTCTGCCATTTCCATTCATTTAATGGAGTTGAAAAATAACTTTGACGTCTATTTTGGGGAAGAGATGAAGAAGTTCGATACAATGAGCTGGATTTGTTATCCGTTTCAAGACAACTTGCAAACTGGATTGTCACTAAAAGCAAGTGAAGAACTTATTGACTTATCAGAAGATACATCGCTAAAAACCACCTTTAATCGTAAGCAATTAACGAAATTTTGGCTTTCACTTGCTGATACCCATCCTTGCTTATTTGATGAAGCCATGAAAGGTCTTGTTCCTTTCACTACCTCCTATTTATGTGAAGTAGGATTTTCAGCTATGGTTCACATTAAAACCAAGTGCCGAAATAAATTGGACGTGACAAACTCATTGCGATTAAAAGTAACTAAAATCGAAATCGACGCTAAAGCGGAAATGGCAAGAAATGACATCATACTCACTGAATTATCACATCTTATATTTAGTAAATAAAAATTTTATTAATCTGGATGTCTCTTTTTATTGAACAGACCTTAGCACAGTTACGACATTATTTTATTATCGGGAAGATGCTGTAGTAGCAATAAACAACGCTGTTTCTTTTTTTCATATTAGGCAAGGGTAAGTTGGTCAGTTTTTACAGTAAGCCCACCTATAATCTACCTTTATCCCATATAAATTTATATGGGATAAATATATGGGATATTAATGTGGTTATTGTGTTAAGGTGCATTTAAACCAAACGAACAAAGAGCTAGAGCTAGAACAAGAGCATTCTTTCTTGATCTTTTAGTGTAAACGAAAGCGCGTTTTTAGCGTTTACACCAAAATATCAACGAGCAAAAATGAAAATCAAGAATTAGAATTCTTGCACATAGATGTTTAGATCAGCCGAACGAATGGTCATTTGGCTAGAACACAACAACGCTTTGAAGAGACCGCTCCGATGAGCGAGCACGTCCGAACACGCAAGAAGGCTCTAAGCAATTGTTCTCGCGCTCTAGTGCCGTTTACATCAAGCGATCGAACATTCCTAGAATATTCAATAGAATCTTTGAGAACACAGACAGAACAACGAAAGAATGCTCTACATCTTTTTACACTAAAAGAATATGATAGAGTGGGGATAGAATGAGCATTCGCTCGTCTGGTGTAAATCGGCCATTAGGTGAGTCCCGAACATTGACAATTTTTTACGATGGGTCGTGGTCTAGACAACTTTGGGAAACACTGTTCTAGAGAGCTTGCATATCTGATTGTCTTTACTGAACAAGATTTTATGGCCGAAGTAGAACTATGTTTCAATGATGTCGATGTTTTCGCCTTCTATTGTTATAGACTATGTACTAAGTTAGTCATCATTTTTGTTTCATTAGTTTATTTCCAGACATGCTTTTTGCGTGGCTTATTGTAGGAGTCGTTTGATATTAACACTACATCATCCGCGAATCTAAGGAGGCTCAATTTTTCCCAATTCACCACAATACAATTTTATTTTCCTAAGTTTAGATTTTACAAATCTAAAGTTTTGAATGCATGTTTTAGAACTAAAGTAAGAGTAACGAAAAAAGATTTATCTCCCTGCCCAATTTTTCTTTTTATTTTAATTTTCCAATATCAAATTGAGAATGCTATATGGTGTAGTAGTTGCATACATTCTTGAATTCTTATGGTTTTATAATAAAATATTTTAGGAACTATAAAAGAGGTAAAAAATGAAAGATAATAAACACTTTTAAAAGATAAGATTTATTTAGTTACTTAATAGCAATGCATAAAATAAATACAAAATCTGACAAACTACTATATAAAAATTGATGGTGATTACAAATAATGTAACCTACTAATGTTTATTGCTTAATTTTAATTTATTATATAATTTTAATATATTATAAATGTCTCTAATATATATTATTCAAATATACTTATCAATAGTAACACAAATCGCTTTATTTTCATTTCACGTCGACAATAATAGGGAGAGAGGTAACAGACGTCGCCCCTACCATACAAAAATATATTTTGTATCGGTGTGAATCGTATCGCTTTTTCGTAATCGATCTTAGGCGCTACTTAAAAATTAGATGGAGGGAATATTAAGTAAATATATTTTATTATTCATTTAGCTATTCTTTCCTCTTTTACAAAAAAAAGGCATTTTCGTGGTAGCAAAAAAATAAATCTGCTCTTAGCATAGCAAAATAGCAATTATACATTTTTTTGAGCACAATCTTGGTCCATGTTTAGTAGTAACTTTTTTTCACTTCTTTAGCGTTCGTTATGTGGATTTGAGGAAAAAAAATAAAAACAAAAACGACTACACTACATAACATTATAATTAATAAATATGACACTAGAACGATTTTAATTAATTTATATAATAAATTATATTTGGTTGACTTGTTGGTTTTTTTGGTTATTGTACTTAATTTATGGAGAGAGAGAGAATGAGGTGCATAAGTACAATAATAATTTTACTAAACATGGCTTGGTAATTACTTGACCGTATTTTCATTATTATTATTTACAAATCTCGTATAAAACATCACGAATCATCATTTTTGTTTTTTCCTTGTATATATATATATGTGTATATATATAATAATAATCAATAAGAAATTGTTCAAAATATATATATATGAATCTTTTCTTTTTATTTCTTCCACTGAGCACTTAGCCAAATCTTTTCGGTTTACGTTTACAAAAAAGTTGGCCGCAAGTCGCAACATCGTAGTTCATGACAAAAAGAGATCTCTCGCCGAATAATTGCACTTAATTCGTTTTTTAACCTCTTTACAAAAAAAAAACGAAAACAATCGAAAGTAAGAAATAAAATAATAATATAAATAATCACAAAAATAGAGCGAATAAATTTGATTGCGTTAATAAAGCGAGTTTTATTTATTTTATTGGAGAATATTAAAAGAAAACAATTACTCACTCTTTTCGATAGCTATATTATTATTTATGATAACTTGAATTGATTAAATTCATTATTTCCGTACCTCAATTATTTATTGCAAAACAGAAAGAAGTTCATGAACTACGATCTCTATGTTTTATAAGCTAACTAGTTTTGGTGGGCCGCAACTGTCGGGCGAAGTAATGTCGGCTATGGAGGTAGGCGGGATACGAATTTGGGTACTGCACGTTGGCGCCAATGGAGCACTAACCGGCGTTAATCCGGTACCACCAACCATTAACGAATCGAAATTAAATTGAATTCCTGCTGACGGCGTCGTTACGACGATACCCGGTAGTTCTTCAGCCATTCTAATACGATTTACGTCAAGTGTACGCGGTCTAGAAGGTTTTATAACCGCGGGCACCGCCTGGCTTAACATTAACTTCTTCGACGGTGGCGGAAAACAGTCATCGTCTAATGGTTCGATTATTTCCGACTTGATCCGCTCGTGCAGCCCGGGGGGTTTATTAAATTGGTGAGGTAGGTCGTATGGTTTGATATCTTGGGGACTCGACGACCTGGTATTCAAGAAGCAACTGTTGGAATTTTTATGCAATTCTAAAAACGTTTGTAAGTCGTCTATTTGTTGTCTTATCTCTTTTAATTCATCTTGAAGTTGTTGCTTCTTTTGTTCCAATCTTTCTGTTTCCTGAAAATCAAAAAGAAAATTTTTGTTTAAATTTGTAAAATTAAGTTTATTGCAAAAGAAAACATTTTATAGATAGAGAGCAATAATGTAGGTTTTAAAAGAAGAATCTCTCAAAGAATATGTTATATGTTGTCCTTCAAGGTATATGAAGGAAAAAATAGTCAAGTTGCATGTGCAATAGGAAAATGGATCGTATTGCAGATAAGTCAGTCTTAAAGTGTGTCCAAGCATAGCGCGGCTTTCGAAGGACATAATTTTGCCAATCGCAAGTTTGGATATACCATTATAATAACATGCGGTGTATAGTTTGATAAGAAAGATTTATTTTCCTAAACAGATTTTCATTGCAGATGACTAGATACTACTTGAAGTACACTAGATACTGGTAGATTGAAAATAGAAGATTAAACACTGCTCGCAGAAGACTAGATACTGCTTATAGAAGATAAGTGGTAGATGCAGAAAATCAAATTCCCATTGCTGAAGAGAACTTTTTAAACATGAGTGCAATATAAGAAGGAGAACAACCAGATACATGCCAAGAAAACTTACAATGACATGGATTAGGTTTACAAAGATATATTTTCCTAACCAGATTCTCATTGTAGAAGAGTAGATGCTGCTAATAAACAGTTGGGATTGGGATTGATAATAGAAGATTAAATACTGCCTGCATAGGATCGAATCCTCATTGTAGAAGAGAACTTTCTATACACATTGTAAGCATTGTGTGTGGTTGTAGTGGGTGTTGAAGTCGGCTGTACAAACAATGTCACAATAAAATGCTCAACTGTCCCTAGCCATGTGCAGAATACAATAAATGTATGGAAGGAGTCAACCATTTTTTAACAATATCTTACATCTCATTCTATTACATGGAAAAGTGGTGACCAAAAATTTACCGCTAAAGTAATACGATATAAGTATATTAATTGAAACTTTGGGTAGACAAAAACAGCAAAGAGATCCCGTTAAAGTCAGCAAGGATAAAATGAAGAAAGGATTAAAAATCTGATTCTGCCAAAGTCAATGTGAACACGTTCAAGATAATTTGTTCTGATTACAAAGTTTTTACTCTGTGTTTGAAGTGCTTTCTACAATTAAAAATTATAAAAATTATTTATTAATTTTTCTGTTGTGTTTACTTTCACATTTATCACAATAACAAATCTTGAATAGATCGCTTTTATCAAAATTACGAAACGAAAAACAAAGTCTACAGGATATTTTCTGCCACAAATTGTCAACAACTTATGTTTACTGTGCAATTGCAATAACAAGTAAAAATATAATTTGGTCTTCAACATTCCAGTCGCGTGTTATCTAAGAGATGACACTAAAACTGTCGCCTTGTAGTAGCCGACGCAAGTTGAAACTTGCAAGATCCTATAATTGATAAAATAGTATAAGCGAAAACTGTGGATAAATTATTAATAACATATGGAGAAATTTGTTCTGTAAGTAATACCCTTTATGTCATTAATAATGCAGTAGAAAATAAAGAGATACTTCATAAATGTGTTGTTTTTCCCAAGTCTTCATTGTTGAATAGTGTTTTTCCAGTCGTTCATATGCATATATTCTGGACGATTTGCGTAAGAAATATAAGTGGGAAACCAATTATTCTAACTGACCGCCTGATTTCAAAATATTCTAATGATGTGAAAGTTAAATAAAAGTACCTAGTGCAGTGATGGGCGCTGAGTAAATACCCAGCGGGTAGGTATTTCTAAAATGGGTATTTATACGGATATTTATCCCGGCCCAGGGTAAATACCCAAACGGTGGGTATACAAGTATACCCACTGTATACTAGTAAAAATATATCAGATTCCAAAAAAATGAAGAGGAAGATGATGAGGACGTTGAAGACGAGGAATTGTCAACAATCAAAGACGTATTATCATTAGACGAATCTGTCGTAATTTAGATTAGATCAAGTTATTATGATTATTGTCATCAAGCACCCTCTGCGTCCAATATTGGACATAGACCTCCCCTATTCTATTTCATTCGATTGTATTCTGTGCTGTCTGAATCCAATTGTTGGTCATTCTTTTGATGTCTACTTCGTCTGTTCGCTTGCGGTCTCCACTCAAGCAATCTTTTTGTCCACTGCTCATTCTTCATTTGCGCGACATGACCCGCCCAGTTCCACATAAGCTTTGTCATAATGTTGACCACATCATTTACGCCACTTCTTCTTCATAGGTCTTCATTTCGTATGTAGTCCCTCAGAGTTAGACCCAGGATCGACCTCTCCATTTATCTTTGCGCTATCTTGGACCCTCCTGGCAGTGGCTACCGTTAATGTTAAAGTTTCGGAGCCTTATGTCATAACCGGAAACACGCATTGATTGAAAGCCTTTTCTCTTGAAGATGTCTCTAAGTTTCCTGTAGGCTGTCCATACGAGTGTGATCCTTCTGTTTAGTTCGCTTGTTTGATTATCTCTCGATAAACGAACCTCATAGCCAAGATATACATAACTGTCAACCCTCTCAATCTCATTATTTGTTGATGTTAGAGTTGGAAACAAGATTTATCATAAATTTTGATTTCTCCTCGTTGATATTTAACCCGACTCTTGCACACACCTCCTTTAAGTCGTTCAGAATTAGTTTAATCTCTCCAAGGATATCCGATATAAGAACTATATCGTCCCCGTAGCGCAAATTACTTAAGCATATGCAATCAATGTTTATGTCTTTTTGGGTACAATCCAGTTGTTTAAATGCACTCTGACGACTGTGATGAACAATTTGGGTTCAACAGTGTCTCGCCTTGTTTCACTCACAATCAATATTTTACTACTTTTACTCTCTTCAGTACTTTCATGCAATTTTACCATCATTGTAGTATTCTTGTAGATGTTATAAATAAGTTTGGTATATCGATAATCATATCGACTCTGCATTCTTGAAGTGCTTGCCAAACTGCCATTAACTCAATTTAAATTAAATTTTATAAATACCTCTAAATACCCATCTTGGGTAAATACCCCCAGGTATATATCCAGGAAATTTACCCTTGAAAATAAATACCCGGGTATTTAACAACACTGACCTAGTGTATTACAGATGGTTTCGGACATTCGTCGTCAAGTACAGAATTGAAGAACTTGGCCGTGTTTTCTGCATTAATGAGGCGTGTGACAACAAAAAAATATAATAAAATGACCATCCACATATCTGTCATGAAAACTCCTTGCACTGTCAGAAAATTGAAATGTATTTTTTCTATCAAAGACTTCATGTCACACACCTAATGAAACAATGCATTTCTTACAATAGTTTTTTTGAGAAGCGTTTCATTTATAAAGTATAAATTCTGTTCATCTAATGCCGTTAAGGAACGATTTTTAACAGGAAGCGACACACACTGAATAATGAAGTAACTGAAGATAAACTCAACAAATGAGTCTCCAAGTTGATAACTTGAATATTCGAAGTGTTGCACCAGTTATTATATGTATTTGACAACTTTGTAAGTATTTATCAATCCTGTTGTTGTAGTGGAAAAATTGATACTAAATAAAGCAGATAGATGTATCAAAGAACATTGTTCTTTTGTCCAGTACTACAACCCCTGGTACGTTTAGCCTTCGCAATGATCTACTTTCATTCTGTCCTCTCACCACACAACTTTCTTCAATCTTCCTCAACATCATCCATCCATCTTTTTCTCGGTCTGCTCCTTGCTTTTCAACCCATTGATCTCCAATCTGCAACTCTCCTTGTTGCCTCTCATCGCTCATTCGCTATCTGATAATATCAGCACCATTTATCAATTGTATATATGTATTTTCGTTCAACTGCCCTAAGAAGTTGTTCGTCTGAGGTTGTTAAGTCCCAGGCTTCGCATCCATATGCTACAACTGGTTTAATAAGGCTTTTTCTATACAGTCAGTTTTATGCTTTTGCTACATTCTAGATTTTCTAGATTTGAGCAGTTCAAAGAGTAGTAGCTCCTGTTTATTTATCTTTCGCAACACAGGATCTTATTTAATTACTGCATGAACTGTTGTAATCTTTTAAATGTGCAACCACCAACTTCCAATTCAGCATTGTTGTTCGTTGCTGTCGCATGTCGTGAGTAATAAGAGTTAAGATGTGGCTGAAACAACGATCTGCCTGACCATCTGGGGGCAATATACTGCTGATAATTGATTTTGAGCAGAAAATCAGACTAATGTGATTCAAAAACAAGTCAATAAACTATATCTTAATAATGTGATTCTAAAACTTTAAAGCGACATGCCAAGGATTTTCCTGACATTCCAATACATGTTTTCGTAAAACATGTATTGGTAATTTATGAAGATTTATCTGAAGACAACTTACTAATCAGATGTTTTGGGAACCACACCCAACCCAAAGCATCTATATTCTGGCTTGAAAACAGTTAAAATGTCTGCTTGTATTACAGCTACGTAGAAGCTAGAAAAACACCGAAAGAAAACTTGGCGATGAGAAAGTTCATTTTATGAGGAAAGAGAAACTTTATGGCACGAGTGGTTTATGTCCAAAACGAAACAACTCACTCCATAACCTACCCCAAGACGACCATTTGACAATTTGTCGTCCATTTTAGAACGTTTTGGAGAATGTGAATGTATATTTTTATAGTATAAGGCAACAGCGAAAAGTGGCGATTGAGCTAAATGTAGGAAATTAATTGCATCTTAAAACACATCTTGATAATGCATTTATTTTTGCTCATCTAAGTGTATCTCCCCCCTTAAGAATAATAATAATAAACAAATTTTATTGCCATAAAAGAAAAAAAAACAAAGGAAAATTGTACATTATTATAATTATCCTATATTAGCAGTAGTGATAATAAACAAAAATAAATAATGATTATATAACAATGACAGTGGAAAACAAATCATAAATTCAATTCTAACAAACGGAACGATTTATCGCCACAGACGATATCTTCCAATCGACCCAGTCTAAACTATTTTAACGTGATAGAAAAAATTTTCGAATTTTGTTGTACTTTTACTGGTTTATTCATATTTTTGTTGTCTAACTAGTTTCGGCAAAAAGCCATCATCAGAGACAACTACAAGAATTAACAATTTTTAATTAATAAGTGAAATTTGAATAATAAAAATAAAGTTTTTTAAAAATACTTACAAGTCAATGAATTTTACAGGAAATTAGCATCGAAAACATAAAGCGGTGAACAAATTAAAATTATTATTGTCACAAAATTTACTTAAAATAAACGTAAAAATTTTTACAAATCTTTAAAGATTTAACTCCGCATGGACATCTTTTGTGGTAGATGTTACAAGATGGTCTGAGTTCAGGTTTTTCTTTTTTCTTCTTCGTAAGAGAACAATATATAATGCGCATGTACAAAAATATTTGGTGACGTATTTTAATTTTGAATTCAAACTGGAAAATATTTTGACAACTCATTTAAATCAAACTATCAAGGACTAACATGAAAATAAGTTTTCTGTAACTAAATGTAATTAAAAATTTTTTATGATTTTTGTATAATATTTCATAGTTATGAACTATTACAGTGGGGTTAATAAGGATGTTGGAATTTGAAATGGGAACTTGAAAATATAAAAATAGGAAGAGGTGTAAAAGGATTGGGGTTCGAAAAAGGAAAAGGGGGATTGGCCGCTTTTATTGTTAATTCATATATTCAAATTTCACTTATTAATTAAAAATTGTTAATTCTTGTAGTTGTCTCTGATGATGGCTTTTTGCCGAAACTAGTTAGACAACAAAAATATAAATAAACCAGTAAAAGTACACCAAATTCGAAATTTTTTTCTATCACGTTAAACAAACTGGTATAATGGATATTAACTTCAATTTCAACCTAATAAACTATTTTACAATGATACCACTAGGTATACAGAGTAGTAAATAGTTAACGCGGCCTTGTAAATACATAAACATCATCACACATAATTAAAACCAAAAAGAGAAAAAGAAAAAAAACAAAATAAACAACAAAAAGGAGAGAAGAAAAGTGTAAGAAATGTATAGAGTAACAAAGCAGAAGAGAAAGAAGGTGAATAAGGAAAATAGGAAAAAAAGTAGAAAAGAAGAAGCTCAGAAGAAAAGGAAGTAGATTATTATAAGATCGCAATGTGACGGGAGAACAGGAAATGTGTAAGACAAGTTTTAAAAGATGACAGGGTTGGAACGTTTCAAGAATCTTTGCGTATCGAAAGTTTTTAAATATTTTAGTTATCTATGATGGTGCTACCAATGGCACCAGATGCCAAATAATATATATAGATGAACTGCCGATCGCGGTGTAAATTGTTATTATTGAAGTATTCCACCTCATCACCATTTCCTCCAACAATTAGAGAGTAAGTTACTAGAAAAACAACTGCAAAGAAGGCAGAAAATTTGATATTTTCTTGTGTAATACAATGTGAAGCAGTTATGCACTAAGCATAAATTTAAGTTGCATTTAGTACAAAAACCAACATCTCTAGCAAAGGTAAACGTATTTTTCTGGCATTGTCTAAACAACTACATTGGCTTAAGACTGACTTGGATATTAAACTATACGTTTGCTTCATTTTGGCACAAGATTTTGTTTTGAATGTGATATTTTTCCAAGCGAGCCATCCATCAGATCAACTCAGTCATATGATAATTAAGCAACCTCACGTCGTTCAACAAGACGACTAACAAAACAACATTTTCGAATATTCGTCCAAAATATCTTTCAAGACTTCAATATCAAAAGGTAGCTATAAAAATAAAGTTCAGCGTGGTTAGTTTTCTAAATGCAACTTAGCAATTGTAAATTATTACGCTTTCATGTAATGCTCTTAAAGTCAAGTGAAATCCAGTCACAACTATTTTACAAACTACAATGATGAATGAAGATTCAAGTGGAACCATTTCAATGGAAATAATAAATAGGAGTTTAATTCAAATTCTCCAAAATACTACAAAAATATAAATGATCAACATTATAATTAACCGCCATCAAATGTAACAAGCTCATAATCGTCATCATATTAATTAAATATTTCATTGTGTGAAAATAAATTTAATGGCTCTTGTATCTTCGGCATTTTATTAAATAGTTTGAAGCAAAACCGTGATGAAACAAGTTGACCGCCCCGACAAATACAAATTAATAACAAAACCTTAATAATAAAAATGGATATGAAATGATATAATTAATGATTAATTAATTGATAATTAAATCAAATGATTCAATATAAATCCAGAGTTTCTTGAAAATTAACTTTCTCTTATTAGACTTCAATTAAGTTAACGTTTTGAAACATAGATCAGCGCTTATAAATAGAAAGGATGGACTGAACGCAAACCACACGTTGTAATGAAAATACACGACGAACAGAATTATATGATAAAAACCATAACTAAATTCAAGTAATAAACACAATAATAAAACTCGTTAAAAACAAAAAAATAAAAGATGTAAGTAACCACAATAACTTGAAGAAATTTTAAATTTCACACAATAATAAATACTCAATATTTACCTCTACTAATTGATTTGTATGATCGACCCTGCGTTTTCTGCATCGAGCTGCAGCTGCTTTATTTCTTTCTCGTCGAATTCTTCTTCGTTCCTCCTCTTCGGGAGAAAGGTGAAGTTCTTTCGCTGGTTTACGACCACCCATGTTTCGTCTACTTTGAGGGGCTGGCGCGTTATTAGTTATGATGCCGTTCTTTGGGGTAACTGGTGGTGTAGGTCTCGTGCTCGAATCTGAGCTCGATTGAGATAAAGATTGTTGCCACAAGTTTGACTTGTTGTAAATATCAGCTTCGGAGGCCGGTATATATTGATTGTTCCCTAAAAAAATGTTTTTTTAATTAATATATAAAATTAATCAACAATAATAAAATTTACCGATTGAGTGAACAAGAGGAGGTACAAATCCAGCTTCGTTTTCGTGGCTTTCAGTTTCCGATTGCAGTTCGATGAAAGTTTGCTCGATGTTCCTGAGGGTCGTGGGTGTCAGGGTCGGCGTGGTCCTGGTCGGAACGCCAGAATATCCTTCGAAGTTGAGAAACTGTAAAAACGAAAAGAGGAGACGTGAAAAAACCGTTTGTTTCGGTTGCGAAAATGGAACGGTATCGGTCGATAAGATAACAAACAAATAGAGGTATTAATGGTATTCGGCGATAATGTTAAAAAAATATACCGAGAAGTTTCGACATCAAAATTTCCCCTCTCCCTTAAAAAAAAATCAAAAAAAAAACAGCAACTTTTATTTTTAAAATTAGATAATGTAGAGATTGTAGCCAAAAATTATGTCAGACCTAAATATAACCACATTAATAAATCAGAAATACAAAAATTAAACCAGAAAATTGTCAAAGTTTGAGAAGTTACATTTAAGTAGTAAATCTAAATTAAGTCGCGATGTTAAATTGAAATAAAAAAAGGTATTAAAGAAAATAGCGCGTGAAGGATGGAGTATTTACGCGAAACCGCGATAAACCGTTAAAAAAACCTCCAGTAAACAAAGGTGTGTGTTTATTAGGTGGGCTAAACGTCTCCGATGAATACTGGTTTTTCTTTTTTTATACTTTTCCAATTTGCAAATTGGAATAATTAACCGCTGTAACGTACAAGATTGGTTGGGGGCTTTTACGTCTTAGTTTTTTTTATAAAAAGGTGTCTTAAATTTCCACGTCATTCTCACCACAGTTTACAACATTAATTTACACATCGAACGGTTTTTTAAAGACATTTTAAAAGATTTTAAGACTTCTTTCAAGACGTAAAAATAAAAGGGGAGAGTTAAAACTAAAAATGAGATCATTTACTTTTCACTGAAATACTTCAAAGAGACTTGAAATATTGTTAAATATTTGTGTATACGATTTTACTTTGAAAGTTATAAACGTTAATAATAATGTTATGTAAATACGATATAGACTAAATATTAGTAATAAAGAAATTTAAAAATCATTCTGTTTTGATTTGTATAAATGATACTTTTTGCTTTTGTACTTAGGATTTTTATTGGGGAGAAAAACTTGAAATTTTGACAAAATAATTATTAATTAATTGACAGTCTTATCTCCTCACGAATTTATTTAGGTCAAAAGATATGACCATTTTCTGATTCTAGGTTAAGTTTCTGATTATAAATTTACACATTTTTTTAAATGTTTTTATTTTTATCAAAATAAACACATCTTCTTTTTCCATAATCTAAAAGAACATTATTTAAATTCTTTTTTCAACGAAAGAAAATATTTAATGTTAGACACTCAAAAGATTGATGTTTTGCAATTTTAAGTTATATTGCGCTTAGAATTACTTAAAAAGAAACCAAGATTCATAAAAATTTAATTTTTTCAACAAAAAAATGAATTCTCCTTTTAAAACTGCAAAATAGTTATTTCTTTAATTTCCTATAGTTTCCATGGCAAAAATTAGAACGATATTCAGAGATTATATTTAGACACAGGTGATATTGCGACCCAACCATGACATTCAATAATGAGGGGATGTATAATTTATGATGTTTAGTGAGATCAAAAACAATATTGATAGCTGATGGGCAAAGATAATAAAATGTTAGAGTGGAGCTCTTCAACCATTTTTGTTTGACTCACTTTGAAATCACTCGATTAGTCCATAAATCCTAATCGGGTCAATCTCCATAGCAGCATGAAGATATTGCTAGTGGGGATCTCGATGTCTGAAAAGAAAATGGAGGAGTTGGGGGAACAATACACCACATAAAAACAGGAGAAGTACATTGGGAGCTGATAGTAAGAATAGATAGTTGAACAAGTTGAAAGATCGATTTAAATATAGATATATATTACCATTATTACAGCAAAGATGTAGAAGGAAAAGTTATTAAGCAGGATACGACACTGATATTAAAAGAGCAAGGTGTAATAGAACTGTCGTGGAAAAAAGTAAATGCGAAAAAAGCCGTATCATAGAAGTAATAAGAAAGAAAGAACAGGAATGGGGTTGGTATCAAAAATCTGAGCTGTATTGAAGAGCAGAAAAAGAATTATAAGGAAACATAGAAAATGGCTAAAATAGCTTCCTGCTGACTACACTATAAAAAGATATCCAAGATTATATTTATAAATACCAGTAACGATGTTGATGATATTAGGATGATATCCGACAATGCCATAAAGATGTTTAGATATGTCAAGAATATCAATAGATGATGGAGGAGTATATTGAAGTCAACAACATTGGAATGTAATAGAACTAATATTCAGCGATGTTGAGGTAGCCCAAAACAGTATTGAAAGATGTTATTGAGCAGGATACGACACTGATATTAAAAAAGCAAGGTATAATAGAACTGTTGTGAAGTGGGAGTCTCTAAGGGATGTTTATCGTATTAAGAAAGTGAAAGCGAAAAAGCCATATCATAGAAGTAATAAGAAAGAAAGAACAGGAATGAGGTTAGTATCTAAAATCTAATTGTAAGCTGTATTGAAGAGCAGGAGAAGAAATATAAGGAAACATAAAAAATGGCTAAAATAGCTTCCTGCTGACTACACTATAAAGAGATACCCGAGATTATAATTAGAAATACCAGTAACGATATTGATGATATTAGGATGATATCCGACAATGCTATAAAGATGTTTAGATATGTCAGGAATATCGATAGATGATGATGGGGGATATTGAAGAAGTCAACAACATTGGAATGTAATAGAAATAATATTCAGCGATGTTGAGGTAGCCCAAAACAGTATAGAAAGATGTTATTGAGCAGGATACGACACTGATATTAGAAGAGCAAGGTATAATAGAACTGTTGTAGAGGAGGAGTCTCTAAGGGATGTTTATCGTATTAAGAAAGTGAATGCGAAAAAAGCCATATTATAGAAGTACTAAGAAAGAAAGAACAGGAATGGGAATTATGTTATTAGTATTAGTATTATTAGTATTATGTTATTATGTAGTTAGTATTATGTTATGTTGGAGAATGAAGGTAGGATATTGAGTAACACGAATAGATGATTGGAGACGATATTGAGTGAGAACAGAAACATTAACAGAGTTAACTTTTTAGAAAAAAAATTAGAATTTTTAGAATCAAAGAAGATGATGATAAATAATGGAGAATATATTGTACTAAACCGGAGCTGTATTGAGAGATGTCAAGGACTAATAATGAAGGATGTCGTAGAAGACAATGTCGACGAAGACCAGAGAATATCAGCAATGGTATTGAGATATGTCGGGTAATGTTGAGATATTAGGGATATTGTTAAGAGATATCAGGTATTATGTCAAGAAATACCAGGAATTATATTAGGAGATGTCAAGAATGATATTGAAGAATTGAGTAATATCAAGAACGATGTTGAGAAATGCTATAACAACATCAAGAAAGATCATGTACGAAGTTGCAGAATAGTAGGTACGATGTCGAATGATATCATACATATTGCTAATACATGATGATACACATCATATGATGTGTTAATGGAAGCTGGCACGGTATTGAGAAGAATGTGTAGGATGAGTTCCGAGAACGATGAGAAGATGTTAAAAGCATCTTGATACATGCTAAGGATATGTTAAGAGATATCAAGAATGATGTTGAGAGAAGCCGGACACAACGTTTAGGAATCTCAGGAACGATAATAAAAAATATTAGAGATAATGCTAAAAAGTATCTGGGATGATGATCTTTATCTTGATTTATTACTATTTTTTGATTGACCTTTCTGCTAGCTTTATTATTTGTAAAGAAAATTTATCAAGATGTAATTAAATTCTAGCAGTTGATGGAACTAAGATTTCATCTAAAAATTATATATCTTAGCGATACTTCTGGCTACATAAATTCGATAAAATGTACACTGGAAAAGTGACACAAGAAAAGAAAGAGTTAGCAGAAGAAATGTTGCATTCAGGCTAAGTACGAATTACATACACTAAAGATGAACTTTTTAGCATGCACACTTACAGCTAGATCGTTCAAATAATGTGGTACTAACACATAGGAATAAGCAGTATTTTAGGGAAAGATAATCGAGGAAGTGTAGGTAATAAGAGTCACCACCATTGTTTAGAAGAGATACATGATAATAGACTATAATGATAATGGATATATCTTTTTGCATAGCACCTTAAAAATCTTTCAAAGGTATCCCAGTAGAAAAGCTCATTTTTGCGAAAGAAAAAAATAAATATTTTAGCAACCGGTTTTAATGTTCAAAATATTTGCTTAAAAAATGTAAATGTTACGACAAATATGCATAGTCGGAAAACATGCACATTTCTCTATTAGAGAGTTAAAAATAGACTAGTCAACGTATCCTCACGCCTAGAATCGACGTGGACACTAGACTTAATCGTTATTGACTTGTCTATATCTATATTCTACATTTACCGGTAAATGTGCACATTTTCAGTACTATTTTCACATTTGTAATAAAATATAAGATTTGCAGCTTCAATAAAAAGATTGTTGTCATAGTTATATATTGTAAATGGTTAATAGCATAATTTTTGTATTAAATTGTTATACCATAAATATCACTATGTATTATCCAATAATAATAAATACATAAAGGATTTTTTAATATGATTAATTTATCTCTACATAAAAAAAAATCATAAAGTGGTTTTTAAACATTCAAAATTACAGTCCAACCCATATATGGTTGGTGGCAGTCGCCAAAAACACATTTTCACAGATCCAAATAGGTCATAAATAGGTTTTAGTAAAAGGTGGGAGAGATGTAACTAATGTGACGTAATAAAAGGTTGACGTTAATTTCTGGCAGGACGATTACATGAATTAGAGTAGCAGGGGCTTATTAAAGCCATAATTATCCGATTATTAAAGGAGCCAATTAAAACCGTACACATACACACACAAAACGTAAACTCGTTCAAACCAGACAGACAGGCACAGAATAAACGTCCAAATAAAACAAACGTTGCGACAATTATTAATAATAGAAATGGTGTGGAGTCGATTTTGTTGATCGCATGCAAAATTAATTCAACGACGTCCTCCAACGCTACCTGTTGGTAAAACAGTTCTTGCGCCAGAAAGTTGGCGATCTCGATCTGGTCCATGAAGGCCATTTCGCTTTTCATTTGGTCGGTGGTTCGGTGACAATTCACGTTGTGACTTTGAAAAGAAGGGTCGAAGGTCGTGGATATTAATAAGTTTTTGTTAATTCTTTATTTTAAGGGTCGTTCGAGTCCTCTTCTTCGTTAAAAAAAAAGGTTCGTTCGTTCGTTTAGTTTTGTGGTCAAGCTCGCGGTGCTGAGCGTCGGGACGTCGTCGTAGAGTTCTTCTTGTAAGTCTTCTTCGGGGTTAAAAGTTTTGAGTTTTTTTTTTGCAAGCCGTACGGTGATATTTAAGAATTTTCGCGGCAAAATAATTTTTCGCGGTGGTCGGTATTCTTTTCTCCGACGGCGCGATCTCCGATGCCGAACACTGCGAGTCGCGGAATGAGCGCCCACCGCCGGTCTTTATTTAGCGTCGAGGTAACACTTTAAAGTTCGCAACTACGACGACGACGGCGGCAGCGACGGAGACGACGCCAAAAGCGAGCGTCTTTTTTGAACGTCTTTCTCACTCTATCTCATCTTTGGCTTTTACGTTAGTGTGTGTGTGTTAAGTTGGGACTTTACGTTTCCCCCCGTTTTCCGCGCACCCGCCTCGGATCGTTTATTTATAACGTACGCTGTTTTTATTGTTTTCCTACTACCGCCTGTACGCATCAAGCCAAATTCGTTTTAGATTAAATTAATGCAAGTTGCCTTGAGTAGTTAGAAAAAACACAGAATAAAAAAAAAAAAATAGAAATGTGCTAATTCTAACCTAGTTTTTTTTAAGAATGGTCATTACAATAATAGAATTTATCTTCTACTAAATCATTAAGTATGCTTATGAATTTTCGTAATCTTGAATAAAAATCTCAAAACTAAAGTAGTCCTCAAAGGTTATTTTTGTGAAATGCGACCTTTTTCTAAATTTGTGTTTATAAAAAAAAAATTGGAAAATAGTTAATTGTATACTGATTTCTTATGGGAAGGAAGAAAATACGATAAAATTTGATTTTGCTTGTTGCGGATGAGTCAAGGTCATTTGCAACCGAGATGCTACGATTTAGAGCGTCAAACATAAACAAAAAATTTGTAGTAATCAATGAATTTAATAATAACCATATTCTCCAAAGTGAAGTATTTAGCACGATTCTTGCGCTACTATAGAATGTAGAAAACATCATTGTTGTGGAACATAGCTAAGCTGTAAAGAAAACATTCATTGGTGTAAAATATTTCAAATTAGTTAAAGTCGAAGAGGTATCCAGGGATAGACTTAACCCTTCAACTGTATTTGCAAAACGTCTTTTAACGTCAATGAACTCTGGAAGCTACGTGTATTACACTGGAGTTGAAACAATGAGATTCTGCTGATTTATGATACCTCATCCTCAGAAAATTGTAAAGTAACAATTACTGATAGTTCGTAAATTATTCAATAACAAGATAAATATAATTGTGTAAGATGTGATTAATGAAGATGAGATGAGATGAGCTATAAAACTATGTATGGCCTTATTCTTGTAAACCGACCACAATTTTTCACGAAAACATAAAACAGACAACATCTAAACAGCTCAAGGAGAGATAATATTTCGGAGCAGGATTGTATGATTTGATTAACACCAAAATGAGCAGTTGATTTTCCATTGGTAACAGTACCGACAATCTCACGACGCAAAATTGGAAAGCAAAGAATTAAGAAACGAAATTGTTGAGGGAAGTGGAAGAAAATGTGATTTAACCAGCAAGAATTAAGATGGAACAAAAAGCCTAACCTTTTCATGGTGTTCAAAAATTACTACTTAGCAGACTCCATCTTATATAGACAGTGTTAAAGCCTCTTAATTAATAATGTCAGTGTTTGCTCAGAAAATATCTACAAGTAATTATGAATGTATTTCTAGACTTCGTAGCCAACCAGTTCAGCTTCTTATTTGAACACTTAGTTTTCAAACCTGCGAAAGAGACAAAGAAATAGCAGCATAGATCTAAAGAAAAGTTTTTCAGGAAGAAATATAATTAAACAGATTTTGAATCTGGAAAAGGAAAACTAACTTTATGATTAATTCACTGATGCACTAGAGGTACAATAACGTATTTAGGCTATATAGTTTTAGATTAAGTTAATGCAAGTTGCCTTGAGTAATTAGAAAAAACACAGAATAGAAAAAAAAAATAGAAATGTGCTAATTCTAACCTAGTTTTTTTTTAAGAATGGCCATTATAATAATAGAATTTATCTTCTACTAAATCATTAGGTATGTTTATGAATTTTCGTAATCTTGAATAAAAATCTCAAAACTAAAGTAGTCCTCGAAGGTTATTTTTGTGAAATGCGACCTTTTTCTAAACTTATGTTTATAAAAAAAACTTGGAAAATAGTTAATTGTATACTGATTTCTTATGGGAAGGACGAAAATACGATAAAATTTGATTTTGTTTGGTGCGGATGAGTCAAGGTCATTTGCAGCCGAGATGCTACGATGTAGAGCGTCAAACATAAACAACAAAATTTGTTGTAATCAATGAATTTAATAATAACCATATTCTCCAAAGTGAAGTATTTAGCACGATTCTTGTGCTACTATAGAAAGTAGAAAACATCATTGTTGTGGAACATAGCTAAGCTGTAAAGAAAACATTCATTGGTGTAAAATATTTCAAATTAGTTAAAGTCGAAGAGGTATCCAGGGATAGACTTAACCCTTCAACTGTATTTGCAAAACGTCTTTTAACGTCAATGAACTCTGGAAGCTACGTGTATTACACTGGAGTTCAAACAATGAGATTCTGCTGATTTATGATACCTCATCCTCAGAAAATTGTAAAATAACAATTACTGATAGTTCGTAAATTATTCAATAACAAGATAAATATAATTGTGTAAGACGTGATTAATGAAGATGAGATGAGATCAGCTATAAAACTATGTATGGCCTTATTCTTGTAAATCGACCACAATTTTTCACGAAAATATAAAACAGACAACATCTAAACAGCTCAAGGAGAGATAATTTTCGGAGCAGGATTGTATGATTTGATTAACACCAAAATGAGCAGTTGATTTTCCATTGGTAACAGTACCGACAACCTGACAACGCAAAATTTATCTCTGTCTGGAAGTAAAATTGGAAGGCAAAGTATTAAGAAACGAAATTGGTGAGTGGAGTGGAAGAAAATGTGATTTAACCAACAAGAATTAAGATAGAACAAAAAGCCTAACCTTTTCATGGTGTTCAAAAATTACTACTTAGCAGACTCCATCTTATATAGACAGTGTTAAAGCCTCTTAATTAATAATGTCAGTGTTTGCTCAGAAAATATCTACAAGTAATTATGAATGTATTTCTAGACTTCGTAGCCAACCAGTTCAGCTTCTTATTTGAACACTTAGTTTTCAAACCTGCGAAAGAGACAAAGAAATAGCAGCATAGATCTAAAGAAAAGTTTTTCAGGAAGAAATATAATTAAACAAATTTTGAATCTGGAAAAGGAAAACTAACTTTATGATTAATTCACTGATGCACTATAACGTCTTTAGGCTATATAGTTTATGGTGTTAATCTCTTACAATTGCTCATATCCTACCCCATCCTATCAAATGTTGATAAAATTTAGCAGAAAGATACTGAATTACAATAAAAAGGTTTATATCAACTTTTGGACTAAAGTTTGGATTAACCACAGCGAAAAAACTGACAAACATACATAAAATGTTACATACATATAATGCAATATATGAAGAATTTATTTTAAACAGATTCATAAAGATGATTCTGTTTTAGCAAGTTAAAGTCAAATTAAAGACACATTATTGTCAATTTATATGCTGGACCACCAAAGAATGAGCAAGATACCTGCTGCTTCATTTGAATTAAATCCTTGCGCAAGATGTAGAAAGCAGTCCGAAAATGAATAATACATTTTCGCTTCTTGTAATTAATGGGAATAATCAAAGCCGAATTCTAAGAATGTCTCCATGAGTCTTCATGCATTATCACATTAATAAGTGACGTTTAAATAAACTAGCGGCTGTAGTTGCATATGATTTAAGATGAAATTATATATTGTGTCCATAAAAACGGACACAATGTATTAAGAAAATAAATTTTCGCCTGAATGCGACCGTAATAGTAAAAAAATTTTTGGTATCTATACTAAACTAAGAAATTGGGATTTAAATAAATCAACATTAAATGTGCAACGGCAGCAGAATAAATAATATAGTTATGTATAGACGATCCACAAATTCCTGAAATAGGATACACTACAGCACAATTTTCCACATCCCAGTATGTCTATTAAAAAAACGTTCTATTACAAATAGCCCTGGGTATACCTAATTAATGTAGGCAATCATAAAGGCAATACTGGATTCTCCTATAATTACAATGCCATATGAAATCAAAATGTATCTAAGATAAAACGTGACAATAAAATCATAAGTATACCATTTCAATTGAAGAGTCACTTACCAAGGTAATACCAATTACATACGCTGGTGGTCTCAATACTACAAGCAGCCCTACTGTTTACTTTGAAACCTAATCTGAATCAATACTTCCAAATGAAAAGTAAGTTTAGAACCTGAGCAACGTCTTTATATACTTCGGTATTGCTTGCCTTACTATAATACACTGTCAGTGACGTAATATACCATAAAGTTCAAGCCAACGACTGATAATATCATTGATGTTCGTCGATGTATATAGTTATTGTAGATGTGATACAGAAGTAATACAGAGTTACCCACATATAACTTCTAAAAAATAAATTTTATAAATTGAAGGTGATTGTTGTCATCTTGCAGATTATTTGGGTTGTTTATGTACATCGTCAACTCTTTTGCAGAAGGACCATTTATCAACGAATAAAATAATTTTATAAAATATAAACAAGAGTTTTTGTTACTTTACATGATGAGCCCACAATTTCACCATACAAAATTGACAGTTTCTATCACAATCAAATGAAGATATTGTGAATCTGGATCCAGATTTAACACCATGAAATATATAATCATAATAAAAATACAAGCTGAAGACATAACAACCATCCGATAAAAATTTAGTACCATTAATTTAGAAAAACTCGAATATTAACTCGAACTTTTTAATAAATGAATCATAACCGTATTTACGATGCTGATTATATTTTATTGTCCATTATTTGAGGGTCTATTAATGATATACCGCTAAAGAATCCTATTTCAGTTTTTACCTAATAAATTGGGTTAATCTATCAAACACTAACCGAAGTAAAAAACCAATATCTTATCTGGACGATTCTGGCTACACTTAACCTTACTTTTTCTTAGTTAGGTTAATACGTTTATTTGATGCATAGAGGAAACTCAATTTTATGTTATTAGCTAACAGTTGTAATAGATTAAGGCGTTCCTTTCCACAAGTTTGTGCACT